ATGTCAGCAAGTAACAATGTGCCGGGAAGTCAGTATGGCGTGTCCCCCCAGCAGCTCCGCGAGCTCATGGAGCTCAGGGGCGCCGATGCTCTACAGCGCCTTCAGGAGGAGTACGAGTCGGTCGAGGGCGTGTGCCAGCGCCTGCGGACCCACTCTACGGAAGGTCAGTGGTGCTCTCGCTTCTCGTGGGCGCGGCCGGCGGGTCTGCTAGTGGGGTCATCATCGTAGTTGTTGTTGTTGCCATTATCATTATTACTGTTATTGTCACCGTTATCACAAACAGTACATATTTTTATACTATTACTTTGGTTCTTTTCATGTTTTATCATCGTCCTCCCCATCATAACTGCTATAACTGTTACTACCAGTGTTATCATTCTCATTATTGCTATAATCATCCTAACAGTATTTTGCTACAGATGTCATCAACAAACGCACATATGTAATACGTAGGAAATATAGGCAAACAACCATCATTCTGCAAAGCGACTGACAGACCGAATAATATGAGTTACGCAGTACTAAGAAACGATTTTTGAAGACTACGTGATCATATTCCAAGATCTGAGAATTTAAAATCAATACTAAACATGCTGTCTGTGTATGAAGCTTATTGAGATAAATAACTGATCTTCCCAATGAATAAACAACGCAACATGTTTCTTTATCAAAGTCATTTTTCCCCCACTCACATCTTCCGAATACGCATTACAGAACGGAAAGGAACCGCCCGTCTTATATATGCATACGCTTGAAAAATAAATAGAGATGCAACATTTATTCATCCTGGCGTGCACGATGGCCAAGCGAGTCCACATGAACATAGGACGATCCGCCGAAATATTGAAGAGTGTGGGAGCATTCACCGTAAGATTGGGAACTCCGCCTAAATACACACAAATCGTGCATGTTAAGATCTGTCAGTGTGGGATACGAACACTCTTTTCCCCCCTTACATTTATTTGTGTTGTTTTTCTCCATTTCCAAGGTTTCGACTCTCAGCGGGGCTAATGTGTGAACTGCCTGTTGCGAATCCTTTAATCCGAGACACATGACTCGTGTTCGAATAAGCACGTGTTTCGAATACGGCAGCTTCACTCAATGGAAACGCTGAATGTTGAATTTTAGGAGTCTGGCCATCTATTCAGTGAACATGAATGGGATCCCATCTCACGAACGCTTCAATCAAAAATCAAAGAAAGAATGAAAGGCATAAAAGTTAAGAAGAAAAAAATAATAAATAAATACCCACATTCATCAGACGCTAACGAGGTCGGCTCTCGCGAAAAAAAAAGAAACCGAAACAAAAACAGTCGCAAAAGACAGAAAAACAACACGTGTTCGAACACTGCAGGATGCTTTGTTTGCGTCGGCCGTCTCCCGAGTAACCAAGTGGTAGACGCTGGCTTCACTTAATTGGTTAAGGGAGGCCAGGAGGGGCAGGGGGGTAGGGGGAGGAGGAGGGAGAGGGGGCCGGCTGTGATGAGACTGTTGTCATGTCACCATTGGGCTTCGATGCGACGGACGCATTTATAGACTTTATAGGTCTTCCATTAGATCTGTGGCATTGCTGTGTCGTTTCTCGTGTCGAAGGATCGGATTCTGTTATGCAAAAAAGATGATGAAAAGAATTAGACGTGTCCTGGAAGCTTAGAAATATTATTGAATACCCAATATGTCTCGCCAAACATAGGCAAGGGCACTAACAAGGACACATTCATCATCGTAGCAAGGAAAAGGTCATCGTGACAAGGAAAATGACGTCACTTGTCGCCTTGTCTACGTATTTCATCCTCGAGAAGGAAGTTATCGATAGCGTCTCTTAACCTGTTATTCGCCAGGTACAAAGCAAAGGACAGGTTGAGTGTGCAATGGTGTTTGCTGCGTGTGTTTTCTTGAATTTTAGGCGTCTTGAGGAGAGAAAATTTATGGGGAAAATGAGAAAGTTTGCTTGGCATGTGCACTTACCAGCATACATACATACGCAAACACATACACATGAAAATACACACACGCGCGCGCGCGCGCACACACACACACACACACACACACACACACACACACACACACACACACACACACACACACACACACTCAATGCTTGGTGTACAGAAACGAAATATGAACAGATATTATTACAAATACAGTAAACTAATTTCCCAAATATCTTCTTATGAGAACCTCCCCTTCCACTTCTGCCACGTTGTAAATAAGGTATCGAGGTCAGGAGATAATAACGATGACCATTAAGACTTAAACGACACAGCCCTTAGAGTGTAGTTTGTTTACTGAAGAGACAGTTATTGATAATAAAACCAACATTCCCAGCTTGGTAATTGTGTTGTTATCATCTCTTCCGTTTACAAAGGAAACGCGTATGCACTGATGTGTGAATCGTTAACTTTTCGAAATGCAAAAGGATGAGAAAGTAGTCGTTTAATACTTTTGTTTATCAATTAATTATTTTTTTAAATATATATTTTTAATTATTTATTTCTAT